CCCAGACAGCAGCAAACAAACAAAACTAAAAAAGTTGATATTATGCAAAAAGACCCAAAATGCAGATTAGGGGCCCCCCAACAGGGATACCCCTTCTATAGACAGTGGAGACAGGGGGCCCCTTCAGGGGCCCCCTCTTCTTTAGACAAAGGAGGGGGGGGCCCCTGCAGGGGCCCCCTCTTATATACACTAAGTGTGTGGAGGGCCCTGCAGGGGCCCCCTCTTCTGTAGACAAAGGCTGTTTGGGGCCCTGCATGAGTGAGGGCCCTTCTTCTGCTTATTTATCTCTATACTTGGGGCCCCCTGTAGGGAGGCCTTTCTCCCCCGTTCACGAAGTGCATAAGGAGGTGTTTATGAATATGTGTATAAATATCTCAAGAACTAAAACGGGGGCCCCTTAACAGGGTACAGTGCAGTGCCTTTGGAGGCCCCTTAACAGGGTACAGTTCAGTGCCTTTGTGTGCCCCCCCCTTTCAGCGAGCTGCAGCTGGGGGTGCCCCCCTCTTGGGCCCCCTTCCTTAGGGCCCCCCCTTGGGGCATCCTCTTGGGGCCCCCCAGCACGTACACACGAATTCAGGGGTATTTATTTGGATCCTCGAAACTCAGGTGTACATGCAGGTTAGGGTAGAGGAGTGAATAAGGAGAAGCTGGAGCTGCCTATACACCTGGGGCGTTGCATGCATCTGCAGATAGTGTGTTGCTCTTCCCCTTTAGGAGTATAAGACACAGGTGCCCTTAGCAGCCCCAGAGGCCTCGCGGTGTATGTACACCTACTACGCAGGGAACTGCTGTACAATTATATATCTTTATATATGCATGCAGAGCTCTGCGCTGTACATGGGTATTAAAATGCGTTAGTGAAGTTATTTCCCTATGAAAACCCATTAAAATATATATTTAATAAATATAAATAAACACAGTTCCTTCTTTAGGGGCCCCCTACGAGGTGTGCATACACCGCAGCTAACAGCAGCCAGCTGCTGCAGCCCTATTGATGTTTGTTTTTGTTTGCTGCTTCTTTTTCTTCGTTCATTTACCAATTGCTGCTGTCATTAAAGGACTTTTAAGACTTGAAATCGCCTTAGCAGCAGCAGCAGCAAACCCGCAATTCTGCTGCTGCTGCTGCTGCTGCGCTGTACCCCTGGCCCAGGGGCCCTCGGGGGGCCCCTGCAGCTCTCCTTCTCTCTCTCTCTCAGCAGCAGGGGCCCCCAAGGCTATTTATAAATCCCTTTATTCTTTGCCTCTAGGGGCCGCCTACGTGCCCTTGGAGTTGCTGAGAAGTTGACTGCTGCTTGCTACTGCTGCGGCTGCCGCTGCTGCTGCTGCTGCTGCTGCTGCCGCTGCTGCAGGGGGGCCCCCGGCTCCATGCGCTGCTTGAGGCCCCTGCCGCGGGTTGTCCTGGGATGCGGGGATGCAGCCAACGGCCCCACACTCGGGGACGGGGGGCCCCCCTTCCCCGCGCTGCATCAGCAGCAGCAGCAGCAGCAGCAGCAGCACTACCTGGGGCCCCGTACCCTCTCTGGCTCTGCACACCTTCAGCAGCACAACCCCTATCAGCAGCAGCCCTCGGCATGATCTAAGCAGGTGAGGCAATCCCTCAAAC